GACAATTTTACCTCTTCTTTTCCAATTTGGATCCCTTTTATTCTTTTTCTTGCCTGATTGCTGTGGATAGTACTTCCAAGACTATGTTGAATAGAAATGGTGAGAGTGGACAGCCTTTCTTGTCCCAGATTTTAGTGGGGAGGTTTTCATTCTTTCACCATTGAGTACTATGCTGGCCACAGGGTTGCCATAAATTCTATTACGTTGAGATATCTTCCTTCTATACTCATTTTGTAAGGGTTTTTATCATTAATGGGTATTGATTTTTTTCAAATGCTTTTTCTGCATATATTGAACTGATCATTTGGTCTTTATTGCTTGTGTAGAAAAATCACTTGAAAGCTTTATTGGGGTTCCTTTGTATCTAACTCTTTGCTTTTGTCTTGCTATTTTAAAATCATTTCTTTATCCTTAATCCTGGCCCTCCAAATAATATGTCTTGATGTGGATCTGTTTTGTTTCTTTTTGTTTGGTACCCTCTGTGCTTCCTGTACTTGGATATCTGATTCCTTCTTTAGGTTTGAGGTGTTTTCAGCCATGATTTCTCCAATTATCTTTTCAATCCTGTTTGCTCTTTCTTCTCTTTCTGGTATACCTATTATGCACAGCCTGGCAAGCTTTATATTATCCCATAGGTCCCTTATATTGTTTTCCTGGGTTTTTGTTTTCCTCTCAGCTGTTCTCATTGGGTGATTTCTGTTTTTCTGTCTTCTAAGTCACTTATTTATTCCTCTGCATCATCTAGCCTACTTTTTATAGCCTATAAGTCAGCTCTCACCTCAGTAAATATGTTTTCCAATTTTAAGTGGCTCCTCTTTATAGTTTCAATTTTATTTTTGATATATTATCTGTCTCTATTCACAATCTCTTTTAATTCCTTCAGTACTTTGATCACTCCTATGTTGAAATCATGATCTAGTAGACTATCAATGTCTATTTCATTGATTATTCTTTCAGGTGATTTCTCTTTTTCTTTAATTGGGAGTGGTTCCTCTGCTTCCTCATTTTATTTATCTCTCTTTGGCACCATGTATAATGGTGTATCAATTATCTACTGTGGTCCTGAATAGGTTTGTTTGTTTGTTTGTTTGTTTGTTTATATAAAGTGGATGTAGAAATAATAATAAAAAAGAAATTTAAAAGAAGAAAAGTATTTGAAAATAGAGTGTAATCAATAACAACAGAACAAAACAGAAATAAAAATCGAGTTGAGATAAATTTTTAAAAACTTTAAAGACAAAAATTGGTTTGAAAACTGTATAATCAATAACAGAGGAACTAAGCAAAGGGAAATAAAAATCAAATTTGGTGAAATATTTAAAAGAATTGAATATAAGTAAAAATATTTGAAAACAGTATTATCAATAACAGAACAAAACAAAGATAAATAAAAATGAAATTGAGGCAAATTTTAAAAATAATAAAAATATTTTAAAAGAAGAATTTAAAGGTATTAGAAAATAGAAATACAAAATTGTTTAAAACAAATTATAAATAAAAGGGAAAAAGAAAAAAGAAAAGAAAAAGTGGATGTCTTCCCTTGGAGACTGTGTGCTCTTAATGATTTTGTCTAGATATCCTTTTGAAGTATGAGTGGTTGCCAAGTCTTCCTTCCATGCCTTTGCCTGTTTTACCTTTTGTTGGTGTTGTGGTCAGTGTTCTGATATCCAGAGTCTGCCCTGCCTATTGAATTTTGCCTCCTTTTTGTTCTGTGGTTTTCCCTACTCTGCCCTTTCCCTGCTGGGTGAATTCCACTTGCTGGTTCCAGAGACCCTTAGGTCATGCCCCTGGTCTCTGCTACTCCTAGTGTCAGTCAGGTGGGTGGGTCACATCTCCCAATTCCATAGTCCATAGCCCTGCTCCTGCTGGGTACTTGGGCAGGTTGCGCTCCAATTCAGTGTCCCTCCCCACACTGCATCATGTCTGTGCTGCATTGGTGGCCTTGGAAATAATGGCTGCTCCAGCCCTTGCCCTTGCTCTGTGCCAGATGTCTGCTCCTTGTTCATTTGGTTTAGAGGCATGAGTTTACAGAGGCACTTGGACAGAATGTTCCTATCTGCCTGGGGCTGTAAACAAATCCAGGTCATGCCTATGAGGTTGTGGAGCCACTAGGTATGGATTCAGGTTTCAATCCTGCCTCCACCTGGGGGCTGTGCACCTGAAAATATGGTGGCTGTGGCTGAGCCCCACCTTTCTTCTCCTGAGAACATGCCAGTAATAGTGCAATGGGTCTGTGGAGACAAAGGCTATGGCCCCCTCCCCTCAGGGTGCATGATTAGTGTTACTTTTTTTCATATTTCATGGGGGACCCAGGCTGTTCTTATCTATATACCCTCACAGCAACAGCACACAGCACACTGCAGTCCCTTGAGGTTGACTCTGTACAGTTGGCCTGTGTCCTCTGCCTGGCTTGGGCAGCTTGTCCTGTCCCACCCCTGCTGGTTCACATCTGGGTATCAGGGTCATGGGGACCCTTTGTGCCATTTGACTTAGTTCTGTCAGTCAAGGGCTATTCTTTACAGATCTGAGCCTCATAGTTTCCTCATCTGTCCCACTGACCTCTCTATTGGAGAGTGGGAGATCCAGCAAATGAGTGCTATTTCTCCTTTGCTATTCCCTCCCAACAGGACCGGTGTCACACTATTTTCTTTTTACTTCCTTCTTTTTTTTCCTTTTCTCCTACCAGATTGGTCATGTATTTTGTCTTTTGAAGAAAGCAGTATTCTGTCAAACTTCAGCAGGTGTTCTGAGTGGATGGGTGTATCTGTGTATATTAGTCTTGCTGTATTCATGGGAGAGGGTGAGCTAAGAGCTTCCTTCTACTCTGCCAGCTTGGCCCTTCCCCTTCTGCTTGTTTCTTTATTATAAATTGTACCTGTGCTTTTATATTTTAATTTTGTGCACATTTTCCCTAAGTTTTATTTCTCCATGTTCTCCTTTAACTCATTGCACAGTTGTTTTAAAGTCTTTAAGTAACTCACAGGTCTGTATTTCTTTAGCATCCTTTAGGTTTCTTTTGGGTATCTGAAGATTTATTCTGTTCCTTAAAGTTGTCTACATTGCTCAGTTACTTTGGCATGCATTGTGATCTTTCTTTTTAAATTAGGTATTTGAACTAACAGCCATCTTTCCTAGACTTCTTAGCCTGGCTTTGTGTAGAAGAAGTCCTTTACTAATAGGACTGGCCTAAATAGAATCTCCTCTCAAAATTTTTCTGTGGATGGGTCTTTCGTGGCCTGCACATTTTAAAAAAATTCAGCTCCTCCTTATGAGTACTTTTTAATGTCTTAATTTCCCCAAATATCTCATCTTTGTTTTTCTCAAGCCCTTAGTTGTTTTATTTTATTTTTTCTGCCTGCAATATCTTGTATTAAGGAACACACAGGTTTTCAGTAACCCTGCAACTCTCTCATGTGCAGCTCTGACCATGGCTTTTTGGAAGCTTCCAAACTGATATCCAAACTTTGCCTCTATTTCCATCAGTTCTCCCCATCAGGCAAGAGAAAAACCAGTCCTTCAGGCTTCCTCTCTACTAGTTAGAACTCTACAAGCAAATTCCAATCTTTTCCTTTCCATACCAAGGGAGGATTTGGTAGTTAGATGGCCTCCTCCTGATCTTTCTGCACTATACCATGAAGGGGGTGGGACAAGGGTAAGCAAAGTTACAATGGAATTTCCCAGAATTTTGAATGTGACTTTTCATTTTTAGGCATTTACTTTGTTACTGTAGA